TGGAATGTAACATGCAAGCCCAGACTTGAACGCAAGCAGAAATTCATTCCCTGTAGCCTCCAAGACCATGTTAAAGTTGGATGTTTGGACAGAATATTCCTATCATTGCACTCAAACATGCTGCATGGATGTGTACTCGTGCCCGCCCACACTACCAGGATGTAACACCTGTGGTAGTACCACGAGGACTCCGGCTAGCTTCGGACAAAAGACGCTCTCCCCAATGTTGTACATTAGCAGAGCAGCCATTCCCTGTCCACTGGCCACACGGGCATAAACAAGGTGTTCTATGGGCCTCCTTGCAAGAACTTCTTAGTCTCATCAAACCACTGTGCATGAGGTCCATTTGATCGTGATGTATGCAGCAACAGGTGTCGAATTCCCGCAATGGCTTCACATAGCGTGGTATCTGCCAGCAAAAAGTACTGATGCTGACCTTGATACTGTCATTGTCTAGGCAGAAATCAGCATAGGATAAAATTAGGCTTCCATGAAAACATGAGAACCGGTTGGCATAAGAGTTTACTGACCTGGCTCATTCGAGGTAATGCCGAGGATGTTGGAAGCTTAAGAACCTCTCTTCTCCTCGTAGAAACTCGAGTACTCTCCCTGTAACTTTGAATTGTGTGAGCAGTAGAATCATCCACCGCATCACAACGTAAATCTGCGGTTCCAATCGATCCACTTCTTCTGTCCCACAAGTATGGCCTGGTGTTGCGATGCCTCATGCCTCAGCCATCACTTGCGAACACTGATCACTGACGACAGACCCCAGGGCACTTTCTCGCGAACAAGCATCTGGATTACCGCATGCTTAGCCGCTCTGGTCAATGCTGCGATTGAAGCCCTGGATACAATGTTTGAGATTGAGCAGAGCCTCATCTGCCTGGTTGCTGGGGAGGGCCGCCCTCAAGCTTTCATCCATGTCTCGATGTCGTCCTCATGATGTCTTGCGTTACCTCCACAAGATAGTTCGTGCATTGCTTGCAAAGTAGCTCCACCAGGGAGGTCGACCTTGCTATGATCTCCCATACCCACCAGTGGTGCCACACTCTCTTGAACAGCATCTGCCATTGCTAAGCGTTGGGCGGTGGAGATAATAAATATTCCTCTAATTACAACCAATGGGTTTGATGCAAAAATTCAATCTGCAAGCGCTTAAAGCACTAGCTAGGCTATGTCTCCATGAATCAAGCAATGTCCTTGCAAGTGGACCGAAAGAAGGGGTAAAGTTTCGTACCCCACAATGAGAGAAAGTTTAGATTCCAGCCTCCATCCATCCATGGATCAATCTGGCCGACGAACGTTCACACCCTAGCAACTTTTCAATAGCCAAGATGCGTTTCGATCAATGTCAATCTCTCCTGAAACATGTTTTCATACGCAAGCTTTCTCAGCACTGCACGAATTGATTCGTGAATTGTACAGAGCAAGCTCGATTCGTAGCCATTGTCTTGTATAGGAAAATTCGTTTCGGCCACGAGAAAAAAAAGTCTTTCCAAAGGGAAAAGTTCATTATAATTTGCGAATCATATTGGACCGACCATTTTCCAGCCAGTTGCTGGATCGCGGGTTCCACACCAAAGATTTCTGTGATTTCAACCGAGCCAGAGCCACGGGAATAATCACCAAATCTCGTGTCAATGTCTTTCTATTCTACTTGTGCTCTTTCGAGGTCACAAAACTGGAATTTTTCAAATTTGTATAACGATTTACATGGTGTAGATTTTTGAATGGCGGATTGGTAGAACTTTCTTGGCTGACAATCAGCTGGAGCGGATCAAAGTGTAGAATCCAGCTCCCAATTGAGTTCCCAAAATCGGCCCAAAGAAGTACACCCACAATCCTCTGTATTCTCCAGCAGCTAGAGCCGGACCAAACGTCCGAATGGGATTCATGGAAGCTCCAGAGATTGCACTAAACAATACCACCAAACTTGTCAACTAGCAAAGAAAAGGGTGAATCTCTCTTCCTAGAATGCTGGATAAAAGAACTACCAACTTTGCTAATCAAGCAAGAAGAGGAAGATCGAAGAGAACTAGAAACCTGGCAAGGAGATTGTTGAGATAGACTGTCGCGGCCACTGCCACCGCTGCCGAGTCTCCAATTGCATGTGGATCCGTCGCCACTGCTGTAACAACAAACATCAAGATGGCAGATATGACGAGCTCCACCGCGAAGGATTGCCACTCGGTGTTGGAGGGGACGGTCACCCCGGCATGGATGTTTGGATCTCCCTGGAAGAACGCGTTGAGCATGAAAGAGGCACACACAGATCCCAGGAACTGCGCTCCAGAGTAGAGTGGAACCTTTCAAATAGAACAAGAGAAGAAACAGAGTTTAGCGATTAGATAGAAACGGGACAGGAGCTTCGAACCTGTATCCATGGGAATCGGCCGAGCGAGGCAAAGGCGAGAGAGACGGCTGGATTGACATGGGCACCGGAGATGTGTCCAGTGGAGAAGATGACGATCATGACCGTCAATGCGGCCCCGGCCGAGATTCCATGTATCCCAAAGCCGTTGGATGGCTTGCTCGCCAGGATCGCGGTGCCCGCGCAGCCGAGGAGGAGCACGAGAGAGCCCAAGAACTCCGCCAAGACCTTCACGAACGAATCCAAGGAACACATCGTTAATTGCCCAAGTTTATAAAGTTTTTGCGATGATGATCATCACCAAACCTTTTTCAAGAGTTCCAAGCTTCTTGGGCGGCTTTGGATTTTGTCGCCTCCGACCGCAATGATGGCGTTGTCACCTTGCTCCAGGTCTAGAGAATTTGGGAAAGTGTCCTGGAGAGGCATTTCTAGCTAATCCTTTTTGCGAGATTTTTTCGTTGCTTTCAGGTGATTGACGATGATGATGACGATCAAAAGGATAGAGTGGGGAAGAATTCTACGATAAAGACGAAGAGGAGGAAGGGGGAGATTGCTAGATCGAGGAAAGCGCTGCGATAGGTCCGGGATCAAGCCACGGTGCCACATTTATACACGCAAACAACTCGCCAGTTTTTTAACACCTGTAAACACATAAAGTTTTTTCACTGATATTCCATTTCCAAAGGATCAAAAAACATTTGGGACGGACTTTGCCCGGATCGATTTTCTTGACTGGATCAAATGCCACGTAAACCACATAACGCGCATGGAGTGCTATGATGCTTGAAAGGGTGGTGGGAGATTTATCACCAGAGAATTGAAGATTAGGAAAAAGAACACGCACTCTTGGATCGCTCCTCGGATTTTTTGACATGTAGCACCGCCCTGATCCAGGTGATTGAAAGTGAAAGGATCGAGGAAGATATAATCGAGGGAGAATCGCATTGATAAATAAGATATAATGTTGATTTACTTGACACGCCATTCATATGATTGAGCCGTCAAGGAAACATTGAGAAGAACGCGTGACACTATTTGGGTTATTGCGAGAATATGCTAAAACTTATGCTCCATAGCATATTCCGTTTTTTCTATTGACTTCGTAAAACGGAGAAATAGAGGCTAGGGTTTGGTGTTTTGTGGTTTCTCTCTCTCGGGGGTGGATCGGCGCGCCGGAGGGGGATTGGATCGATCGCCTCAGCTGCAATGTAGGCGGGCGATCGCTTGGATGGAGTCCAAATTCGTGTCCAAGGCCAAAACAGGTGATCATTCCATTTTCTTTGCTTTTCTTTGGATCGATCGGTCGTTTGCTCAGTTTTCCAGAATGCTGCGGCCAAGGCGGAGCGCATGCTGACTGAAATCAAGGCGGATTTTGTATCGGAGTTTTCCTCTCACGCACAAGGTTGTGTGACTTTGTTTGTTTTTCATTCGAAGGTTTGGAGAGAGTTTTTTTTTTTATGTTTTAGATGAGCCGGGAGAGCTTCCTTGGGTCGGGAAAACGGAGCTGGAAAAGGGTCTCGAAGAGGAATGCCGCAGAAGAATCCTGGAAGTTTCCAAGGTACGTGGATGTTCTTTCATCTCCGGTGAAGGTATCTTAGTTGTTCTAGCAGAGCTCGGAGTTTCTTTACTGCGAACCGGATGGGGGAATGCAAGTTGACATGGAATCTGCGATGCGTATCTTGGAGGTACTGGAGCTTTTCTTTTCATCTTACCGAGGAATTAAAATCTTTTTAACTGTCAGCTAGACAAAGACCTTCAGGCTCTGCGTTTTCACTTTGTTCCCAAAGCGATGAAGGAGAAGGAATTTTGGAGGCGGTACTTTGCAGCTGTCAGGCGAGTTAAACGGGGTTTATATTCGAACGAGACCGTACATCCCGTTGCTAGCATTGCCAGAGAGGTTCTCGACATGGAAGATGCTGCTTACGAGGGCTTACATGAGATGTTTGCTTTTCCGCAGAGTCCCACAAAGGATCCGGCTGAGGAGGAGGCATATAAGAAGGCCGTCACGGTGGCTGCTATACCTCCATCTATTCTTGTGAGACGTCTCGCTTCTGCAACCGAGTACGTGCTTTTTCTTTTTCTTTCCCGAAGGAATTTGATCTCTGTCCGAATTTTAGAGTTGGAAGGTGTTTCGAAACTTGCAAGGACTTGGCTTTGTCCGAGATAACGGATAAAGACACTAGTGACTGGTCATCTCTTGTCTCGGGACTAAAGAAGATCTCTTTACGGGAAAAGGATAAAAGGACCAAAACGCAAATTCGGAGTTCTGGAAGGTACCATTCTTTATTGTGGTCGCTTTTTGACGCAGGTAGTGCCGTTGTTTAAACTTTTGCTCGATATAATTCTTTGAGACATTGCAGAAACTCAACATCAAGGCAGTTTCAAGAAGTTCTTTAGCCAGCACAAGCTTCCCGAGGAGCTACACGGTGCTCCTCCTGAAAGCTTTGTTTCACAGCTAGCAGAAGTTATTGCTGGTCTGAAAGTCGAGCACAAGATGGCAGAGTTTTGGCTAGAGGTCATAAAAGAGGTACTAACTTTTTATCTCGAGGATCCTTGAAATTTTTGGAACAGTGCAGGCGACGCTGGGAGGAGGGACAACCAATTCCTCGCATGCCAAAGGATTCTAGCCCCGATCTAAATTACTGCCTTCTCTTTCAACAGTTACAAGTATTGAATTGCTGCATTGCAAGGAGGCATCGGCGATGTGCTGCCTTGGATTCTTTGAACGCTCCACAGGAGCGCTTTCCTACAGACTCTGGAAGTGATAACCCGGATATGCACTTCGCCAGACTCAAAGATGGCCAGGTGGTTCCGAGGTATTGTGTGGATCGACGAGCGGAAAATCTGATAATGTTGGAAACTGGCGAGCCAATATTCTCTCCCGTTACACAGGTATTATATGCGTTCTTTCTGTCCTTGCGAATTTCTCATTGTTGTGATCTTTAGGAAGGGCCTGTTCTGACTGAAGAATTGATCAAAGAAACCGAGGAGCTGGTGCTGCGGACTGGAAGGTAACGTATAACACTTTTGTTTCCTTGTTTCTATTTCTCTGCGTGGTAAATGGAATTACTGCAGTTTTGGCGCTGGGTGCTCGCAGCTGTTTTCCGACATGCAAGCGTTCAAGGTGAGCTTCTTTGATAAATTCGAAGGACGTTTTAAATAGCATTGGATGTTGTTGCAGGCTGCTAATCCCGGATGTATCCTGGAAGACTTTGTCCGATGGTATTCGCCGCTCGACTGGACAGAAGGAAATCCGGTAGGAAAGGGCGATGAGCCATCGCTTCGGGGCTCCCTCAGCACAAGGATGAGAAGTGAAGGTATTCAATCACGAGAGGCTCTCCAAATTTGCAAATTCTTAACATACATCTCTAACAACAGGTAACTTGTGGCAAGAGCTTTGGTTGTCAGCGCGTCCAGTTCCAGCCGTGATGCAAGCGCCTCTGTTCGACGAAGAACTAGCAGGGTATTACTGTTGCCATCGTTGTTGTGGTTAGCTTAACTGTTTTCTTCCAGTGAGAGCACCCTGGAGGCGCTAGAAAAGATTAGTCCTGGTGATTTTTTCGAGCAATTATTTACAACAGCTGTGAGTCTGCTATTTCTTTTTTCCTTGTTGTAAGCAGTAGAAACTCTTAACAGGTAAGCGCTGGATTCGCCATAGCTGAAGCAAACCCATCAGCTGCGAAGGATCCTCTGCAACGATGTCTTAAGGAATGCCGGGACTATATACTCTCCACATGTCACAAGCATATGGATTCCGGAACTCTAGAAGATCTGTGCGAGGTAGATGTATTTCCTTCATTTCACAAGCCGCAGTACTCTTATTCTTTGCGAAGGTGTATGAACTTATGGAGAGGGCGATCCGAGCACCATCAGAGGAGCTCGCTGGAAAGGCCGAGTCCAAGACCATCTTGGCCGATATCCGGAAGTTACTGCAAAAGAAGCAGATCTCGTACGAGGACCAGCACCAGCAGCATCCTCCCAGCAGCAATCACCACAATGCAGTGAGCAGCGTCGTCAAGTTCTTCGAGTCCAAGTTTGATAGAAAGAACAAACAGGCTCCAAGTCCAATTGAAGGCGAAGAGAAGAAGCTGTGCTCCACCGAGAGTGGCGACTGGACAATAGTTTGATGGTACTCTCAGCCATCCTGTACATAAAAGAAAGAAAAACCAAAGTGATACGTCTAAAATACACACGCCCCTCCTGTAAAAACTCGGTCGAGCTCCACTGTCAATAGCAAGCATTGGATTACTTCAAGGCTTCACCTTCGGACCCGTGTACACGCCGTTTTGGACAACAAAATCGTCCGGGGGTTTATATTCGACCAAGTAGACATAATTTTCGTCGTCGTAATCGTTGTTATCGTCGTGCATCTCAGCTGCAAAGGTCGAAAAAGCTGAGAAAAACAATGAAAGAGGTAAATTTGCGAAGACTTACCGGCCAAACTAGAGTACGGGAACGCTCGATAATATGTGCAGTGCCTACCGGTGGAAGGGCAGTATGGCGGTGCTAAAACGTCGAGGATGGCGCACGAGTTTATCGCAGTGAAGGCGTGAATGTTGCCTCCAGAATTGGGATACAAGACAACGGAGTCGCAGGGACCGGTCATGACTTGATCCAGAACTAGCTTCGCTAGTCTAGCTACAAAAGGAAGGGAAAAAACGAGCTTAGAACACTTGGAAGAGAAGAAGAGAGAAGAGAGAACTTACGTTTTGATGGATCGGAGCACGGTTGCTTATCGACCCAGTCGTAAGATCTTACATGTAGTGTCCCATAGAGGAGTCTGCTAAACACAGTCATTCCCGGATGATCGTGGAGAGGAATTGCGGATGAGGTTGGCAGACAAAAAATCCCCATCTGTACTGCAAAGGAAAGAATCCCAGTTGATTCTCCTCGCGAGAGGAAAAAAACGATTTTCTTTTGCGAGTAAGGAAAAGGAGACGAGGAACTCACCGAGAAAGTGCTGGACTCGTGGAGATGGAGATAAGAGATTGGCGGTGCCCAGCGAGCAGCCATGCTCGAGTGCCGCCCCCTCTGGCCGCCAAAGAATCCCAGGCCACGATTGAGCTGATTCACCGATTCCTCGCTCAGTCCCACATCGGGGCAAGTGATACCGTCTGCTCGGACCGACGCGGCATGCAAGGAAAGCCGTGAATTTGGAGAGTGCCCGGAGAGATTTCGAGGGAAAACGAGGATTTCCTTACCAAGAATGTGGCAGATCTTCCTCACGACCAGCGGCGATGGCGCGGCGGTGGCGGTGGCGGCGGAGGTGAGCGAAATCTTGCATGCCTCGTAGAGCTTCTGAACAGCGGCCATTTGGATTCTCCTCTCTCATTTAGCGCTTAAAGGAGAGCTCGCTCTAAACCCTAGTGCTGTCCAGAGAATATGCTCTTGCTTACGTGGCAACCGCCGTTAGAACCCTAAAGTTTATCGCCTTTGATCATTGCGATGGAGCCAACGGCGGCTTTGGTGTAAGCATTCGTTTTGATTCGATCTATTCGTTTGATTCTTTTCTAGCCATGGGAGCTTCCTCTGCTATGGAGCAGCCGATCCCTCGTGTTCTTCCAAGGCTCTTGTTCGTGGAGTCTATCATCCAAATTCGAGGTTCTCGCTGGGAATTCCAATCCAGTATAAAACGAGGAGAACTTCGCCTCTAAAGGTTCTTTTTCTCTGATCAGATTGTTGTAATGTTTGAGACGACTATGGATAATTTTCCAGATCTTCTGTAGTACCGTGGATGAGCAAATAACTCTTCAAGCAAGGTAATCACTCTAAATCAAGCCTCTTGGTTCTTATCCGTGATATTTTTAGTACCATGCACGAAACATATGATCTTCTCGCTCACAGGCTGTTTGGAGCTTCTTCCGCGAAACCCGGCAGCAAGTAAGTTTTGGAGAGAACAAAGTTTCTGGGAGATCATTAAAATGGTTTCTGGGTGACAATGCCAATGTTTTTCTAGATACTTGGTTGGAATTGCTGGGCCTCCTGGAGCTGGAAAATCCACACTGGCGAACGAAGTCTCTGGCAGAGTGAATAAGCTGCATCAGGAGAGGAATCCGGGGCTAGTATCCGAGATTGCAATCGCAGTTCCCATGGATGGATTTCATCTCTACAAGCACCAGCTTGATGCCATGGAGGTATGAGTTTTTTGGTTTTCAATTGCTTTAAATTAATAGGCCAACTCTTTTGTTTTCGTCGCCAGGATCCAGAGGAAGCCCATGCTCGAAGAGGCGGTGAGTTGAAAAAATAATAATATTTTTTAAAGTTCTTGTGTAATCCTCAATGTTTTTTGTTTCAGCTCCCTGGACATTCAATCCCTCGGGTCTGGTTGATTGTTTGAAAGCTTTGAGGAGTCAGGTAAAAAGTTTCTCCGTGTTTTTCTTCTCTAGTCTGAGAGTTTTCTTTTTTCTCTTTTTTTTTTTCCTTCTTTTTCACAATGTGAGGATGTTCCAGCAATGGGCATACTTCCCATCTTTTGATCATGGCGTTGGCGATCCTGTGGAGCAAGACATTTTGGTATCACCAAAGTAAGTATTTCTATTCACTCGAGCACGCTTCTAACCTTGTAGTTTTTCTTTTATTTATCAAGACATAAGGTTGTGCTTGTGGAAGGGAATTATCTTTTGCTTGAAGATGGCGAGTGGAAAGAATTAAAGAACTTGTTTGATGAACGATGGTAAGATTCGCTTTCCATTTATCGTAGAGTTTAAAGCTTCGAAAGTTCCAGGTTTATTTCGCTTGACCTTGACACGGCCATGAAAAGAGTGGAGCTTCGCCACATATCAACAGGCATGCGTTCGATCTATTCCAAAACTAATCGTGGTAATTTTTATTTTTATTTCTCTCTCGCTTACAGGGAAAACCAAAGAACATGCGAAGAGCAGAGTAAGATCTCTGTAATTTTGTGGTTGAAGTGCTGATAGATTTTATTTTTCTTGCAGGTGGAATATAATGATCGCCCAAACGCTGAGTTGATTCTCACCACTAGAAAACATTCCAACCTTGTCATAAATTCATTGGATCATTCCCAGAAGAAAACTGTATAAAAGGTTTAACATTTGAAGTTTAAAGATTTAGGGTTCCAACGGCTCGTCACAGTCTAGGGTTCTTCGCAATCGCGATTCGCGGCTCCAGGTAGGGACACAATGTCGCAGGGATCCACTCCCTCCAGCTCCACTCCTGGGTCGCCATGCTCGGGATCGCCTCCACATCCCACCGCCCTTCCAGCATTTCTTGGCCAGTCCGTGATCCCGATCATGAACAAGCTCCAGGATATCTTCGCGCAGCTGGGCAGTCCCTCCACTGTGGATCTGCCGCAGGTATCGGTGGTGGGGAGCCAGAGCAGCGGTAAATCCAGCGTCATGGAAGCGCTCGTCGGGCGAGATTTTCTTCCTCGAGGTCCCGACATTTGTACGCGGCGGCCACTTGTTTTGCAGCTTGTTCACGTCCAAAGAAAAATGGACGATCGCGAGGTCTCGGAGTGGGGGGAGTTTTTGCACCTCCCTGGACGGAGATTCACGGATTTCTCACACATTCGCAAGGAAATCCAGGTAAGTTTATCGTTGCGATGCGAGCTCATGAGATTTGTTTTCTTTTTTCTGTTTTGTTAGGCCGAGACAGAACGAGAACTTGGTGACAAGAAAGGAGTGTCCGACAAGCAAATCAGACTGAAAATCTTTTCGCCCAATGTTTTGAATATCACGCTGGTGGATCTCCCGGGGTTGACGAGAGTTCCAGTCGGTGATCAGCCTTCGGACATAGAAAGTCGCATCAGAGCAATGATCCTGTCGTATATCAAGCATGCGACGTGTATCATTCTTGCTGTCTCGCCCGCAAACACTGATCTTTCGAACTCAGACTCGCTCCAAATGGCCAAACTCGTCGATCCGGATGGTATGCTTTCAATCTTGTGTTTCATGGCTTGAGTAATGCTCCTTGATGACTTGTTAGGATCTAGAACGATTGGAGTCGTCACCAAGGTAGGTACTCATTTAACTTTTCGGATTCACCTCTGTTTGCAGCTAGATATAATGGATCGAGGGACTGATGCGCGGAGTATTCTTCTTGGAACGGTGATTCCACTTCGTCTAGGCTATGTTGGCGTGGTCAATCGAAGTCAAGAGGTCTTTCGCTCGCCATTCTTTTGTTTGAAAATTCACATGAAGCATGGTTGCAGGATATTTATGCCAACAAACCGATCAAGGATGCTCTTGTTGCGGAAGAGCATTTTTTCCGAAGTCGAGCGGTGAGATTCATCTTCATTGTTATCAATAACTCTTTACTTTTCAGGTGTACCAAAGCATTCTGGATAGATGTGGCATCCCTCAACTCGCGAAAAAGCTTAATCAAGTACGAACTTGAACCAGTTAAGGTTAACTTGAAAGCTCACGTCTTTTGCAGATTTTGGTGCAACATATCAAGACTGTTCTTCCCGAATTAAAGACAAGAATCAACACGCAAATGGTCGCATTGTTGAAAGAGCTTACAAGCTATGGTGAAGCAACAGATTCGAAAGTAAGTAAGCCGGCTTTAAATTTTTTTGTCACTACCTAATCGATTTTCGTTTCCAGTCCGGACAGGGGGCTATGCTGCTAAATGCTCTTACAAAATATTTTCATGGTATTTTCTGTAATGTTGATATATCATTTTTAACTGCGTTTCTACAGTTTTTTCGTCGGTTATTGATGGTAAAAATCAGGAAATGTCGACCTCTGAACTCTCCGGTGGTGCTCGCATACACTACATTTTTCAATCCATTTTTGTTAAAAGTCTAGAGGTAAGATTAATGCACAAGGCTGGTCACTTATATCATTCTGCACTAGGAAGTTGATCCTTGTGATGATCTCACCGATGAAGACATTCGCACTGCTATTCAAAATGCCACGGGTCCAAAAATGATTCTCTTTGTCCCAGAAGTGAGTGAAGCTTCAGCTTTATTATTTGTGATGCTAGACCCATTATCCAGGTTCCTTTCGAAGTTCTTGTAAGAAGGCAGATTGAGCGATTGTTAGATCCTAGTCTGCAGTGTGCTCGTTTTATATATGACGAACTTGTGAAGGTAAGGCTCAGTGCTACTTTACCGGTACTGATGATCAATACTTCCAGATGTCACACAGATGTGAGACAAATGAATTGCAAAGGTTTCCTGTGTTGCGACGGCGAATAGAAGAGGCTGTATCTACATGTTTGCGTGAGGGGCTTACTCCAACTGAGACAATGATATCTCACCTTGTTGACATGGAGGTATTTTCTTCTTTGTTTGTACAAAATTGCTGATTTATTGTGGTTTCGTTCTCAGATGGATTATATTAACACCTCACATCCACGTTTTATTGGTGGTAGCAAGGCAGTAGAGACTGCCCTACAACAGCAACGTGGTTCTAAGGTACATGTATTCTGATAAATAGCATTGCTCTAGCTTCTATCCTGACAGGATGCGTTGGAGTGGAAGGAGTCTGGTGCAGATCGGCTTCCTAAGGTATTTTTGCTGCTGTGACTGTTCGCTTTGAGCTAAACTAGTAACTCAGAGTGCGCGTCCGACCACAGGGCAACATGACAAGCCTGCGGTTCCTTCAGGTAAGGTGGTAGGCAATCTGCTTGTCTTCTTACTTTGAAAATCCTCAGTCTCATCCAAAGGTACGGAAAGCTCGTCTACGTGGGGTATATCTTCTATATTCGGACATCATGAGAAAGCACAGAGCAAAGACCCAGTAATCGTGAAAGCGTTTCCCGAGCCATTACAAGACCTTGAAACAAAATATTCCACCATCATTCTCAAAGAGGTGTGCTCACTGTTTTCGATATTTCATGCATGAATGTTTACTCTGTCCAATGTAGCCGCCAGGTACTTTGAGAGCCACTGACGCTCAAACAGAGCAGGAAAGAGTCGAGGTTGCAGTGACGCGATTGTTGCTCAAGTCCTACTACGAAATTGTGAGGAAAAATATCCAAGATGCGGTACCCAAGGCAATCATGCATTTCCTGGTGAGCTTTATTTTGTACCTTGCTGTTCTTCGCCTCATGCACGTTTGTAGGTTGGCCATGTCAAGCGTGAACTCCTCAATCTTCTGATTAAGAAACTGTACAGGTAATCAGAACTTCTTCCAAAGATGCAGTTCAACTTTTCATGCGACAGGGAGGCTTTGTTCGAAGAAATGCTCCAAGAACGAGACGACATTGCAAGCCGGCGGAAGCATTGCAGGGAAGTGTTGCGGGTGCTGCAGCAAGCGGTAGTGGTAAGTGTTTTGTCACGTTTCCTTTTCAGCTTGTTTGAGTTTTATTTCCTCGATCACAGACACTGGAAGAGCTTCCAGCCGACGCGGACGCGCATTCCAGGCCCGGGCAGGCTCTGTTTCAAGACTCCACTGGCCTTCCAAAGCCTCAGGGAGTGTCGACATATCTAGTTCACGAAGGTGGCAGCGCAGCATCGCCAAGTTACTCACACCAGTCGCCGAGGCATGTCAAGGCTAAACAACGATCCTCTCTCTACTCGGAGCAGCACCTCCAGCAGCAGCAGGCTTCGTATAGCAACGGGAGCTCCATGGCTGGATACTACGTTCCAACCCTCAAGAGCGTCCCCAGCTAATGTCAAGCTTGCGTTTCTTTTATTTGCGAGCTCGTCTAATGGCGTGGCTCTCTCGAAAAGCTTAAACAACGAAGCGCTAATTTTGTGACAATCAAGCAGCTTATTGATGATCGTTCCCTACCAGAATTATAGCAACAAAGTCACCGGCACTTGGAATTATGCACAGGCAGTTTCTCCTCGAGCATGCATCTCATTTGTATGAGTTCGATCAAGGGAGGATGGTTTTCCATCAATCTAAGTAGTGATCATGGCTTCCATACCCCTGCTTCACATCTACAATGTCACACCCGCGTCGCCAACTCCACAGCCCTACTTGCCATCACCAAAAGATCCAGCCAAGCTCAAGCTCTCCCTGACTCGTGCCCTCTCGCACTACTATGTCTTTGCTTGTCTTGGATGTTGAGCTGCTGCTCAATGGAGCAATCGTCCAAGCTCTGCCAGTCATCAAACCTGGCGTACCAAGTTCATTGATAGCGTGATGTTAGTTCATACTCTCTTTAGATGAAATATAAATTTTATTTGGTAGATATGTTGTACTTTATACATAGTCTGTTGAAGGTTGAGCCCTGGAGTTAACATGGACTACTATAGTGCCCGTACATATCCCTGCGACAGTGGTGGGAAAGTTTGATGTTTTTGGTTAAGGATGAGGATACCACGCACAAGCTTCAATGGGTCAAAGACAATTGGATGATATATGACTATTGCAAGGACTTCAAGAGGTTTTTGAGGCTACCAACAAAATGTTGATGTAGTCCTAGAAAACCCCAAGCAAGAGAAAACTGCGACCTCTCCTTTATTCATCAAAGAAAAGAATACATCAGGTCGCTGTAGGCTCAGTAATCTCTGGATTCAAGAGCTCCTCCAGTATCTCTCGCATAGCACGGTACCAAATCTGGCCGCATGTCGGACAGGTAGTAACCACTGTCTGCTCCTGATTTATATTGAGTTGCTCGACCGCTCGCCTCACACGCGAATTCCGTGTCACCCTGTCTGCGACTGGATCCCTCCTTACTCTCTGTTTTGCCATCACGACCCTTCCACTCTCCTCCGAATCCTCTTCCTTGTAACTGCCTTATTCCTCCAGAATATCTCTTAAACACCAAATTTGTCCTCTGGCAGCTCCAGATTGTACCAGATTCTTGTCAAGACCCTTGACAAGATCAAGACTGGAAAATGCAAAAAGACAGAGAGAAAAGCTAGTGGAAACAAAAGAAGAGGCCTTAGACTGGTGTTGATTCAGATTGTGGAGAAATGGAACAAGGCTAACCTATATATACTATAGGTTGATGAAGCTCCACCACTCTTGGATCGAAGACGGCCTAAATATAGCTGAGGTCAAGGAAAGAAGAGGCCTTAGACTGGCATTGATTCAGATTGTGGAGAAATGGAACAAGGCTAACCTATATATACTATAGGTTGATGAAGCTCCACCACTCTTGGATCGAGGACGGCCTAAATATAGCTGAGGTCGAGGAGGCGCCACATCATTATCAGGAATGTGGCTTGAGACTCAGGAATCGGGAAGTGTCTCGAGATTCAGGAATAGGGAAGTGTCTTGAGAGTCAGGAATAGGGAAGTGTCTCGAGAGTCAGGAATGTGGTCTGTAGGTCAGGAATCCGGTGAGAGTTAGGAATGTGGCAAGAATTGGGGGATTCTTGACAACACCCCCTCCTCAAGAACGAGTGGAACGAGGATGTGAACAAGAACAAAGAGGAGGATGAGATGAGCGGCGAGGGATGGGAGATGGAGAAAAAGAATGAGGACTGGGACGAGAAGGATAGCGGCGGTGGAAGTCCTGAACAAGGTCAGGAGAATGAATCAGGTTGTCTGCAGGTTCCCAAGTGCGTTCCTCAGGTCTGTAACCCTTCCAGTCCACCAGATAGTAGAGTTTAGACCGTGAAATCTTGGAATCAAGGATGTCTTGAACCTCGTACTCAGACCCATCCTCGAGCTGCACTGGTGGAGGCAGAGGAATGACCTGATTTGGAATAGGACTGGGAATATAAGGCTCAAGGAGAGAGGAGTGAAAAACGGGGTGAATTTGATATGAGGAGGGAAGTGCAAGGCGATAAGTCACAGGATTAATGATGGCAGTGATAGGGAAAGGACCAAGGTGTTTGAAATCGAGTTTTGGACAAGGCCTGGTGGTGGAGATATTTCGCCTGAGGAGCCAGACTTTATCCCCGATATTGTAAGGGGGACAATCCTGACGATGGACATTGGCAAATGTTTTATGAGATTCCTGAGCACGATAGAGGTGGAAGGAGATGGAGTTGTGGATTTCCTGGAGGTTGGAGATAAATGCCTCAGAGCGGGGATTTGAACGAGAGGATTCAGATGGAGAAGGAAGTGAGAGATTGAATCGGGGATTTCAGCCAGAGTTCGCAAAGAAGGGGGAAACTCGAAGAGAGGAGTGAACAGAGTTGTTATAGGAGAACTCAGCAAGGGGAAGGATATCGAACCAGTTATCCTGATGATAGTTGATGAAGCACCTCAAGAATTGTTCCAACGTCTGAATCGTTCGCTAGGACTGCCCATCAGTTTGAGGATGATATGCCGAAGAGAGGTTGGCCTTCACTCCAAGCAGCTGCAAAAACCGTTGCCAGAAATGAGAAATGAATTGAGGCCCCCGATCCGAAACCACATCTGTAGGAATCCCATGAAGTCGGAAAATTTCCCTGAATACCAGTTTTGCCATGTCCTCGCCCGAAAACTCCTTGGTACATGGCAAGAAGTGCGCCATCTTTGTGAAGCGATCCACCACGACTAAAATGCTGTTGAAGCCTCCAGAACTCGGAAGATCACTCAAGAAATCCATGGAGATGGATTCCCAAGGACCTGAAGGGACCGGAAGGGAACGAAGCAAACCTGAAGGAAGGTGGCGAGGTACCTTATTCCGGGCACAAGTGTCACAGGAGGTAACAAAAGCTTTGATGTAGTCGTCCATGTGAGGCCACCAAAAGTCCCGTGCAACTAGCTCATAGGTTTTCACAATGCCGAAGTGACCAGCAGTCGAGCTATCGTGGCACGCCATCAGGACCAACCTTCGAGCATCACCTTCAGGAACGTAAAGCTGCTCCCCACGGTACAATAAGCCATCTAAGAACTCGAACTCGTCAAATCGCCGGCAGTCGGGAGTCACTGGGTGTCCAGCCTGAAGATGGGGGAAGATGTCGCTAGCGAGATCATCAGATTGAAGATCGTTTCTGATTGCATCCATCAAGGAGGAGTCCTGAGGGGCCAGGGAAATTGCCATAACTTGAAGCTGATCAGGACCGAGGATAACTTGATCCTGTTGATCGAAGGCAGGATTACCAGGCCTGAGACTGAGATAGGAGCGCCTTGAAAGAGCATCAGGAAGGCCTTGAAACTTTCCAGGTCTGTACTTGATAACAAAGTCAAACCGACTCAGGAATTGTGCCCACCTTGCTTGACGACAGCTTAAAACTCGAGAAGTGGCAAAGTACTCAAGATTTTTGTGATCCGTCCAGACTGTTGTTTGATGGCTCGCCCCCTCCAAGAAACGGCGCCACTCTCCAAAGGAATCCACGATGGCAAGGAGCTCCTTGTCGTGGATTTCGTAATTGATCTCTGCAGGCTGGAATTTCCGAGAATGGAAAGCGACCGGATGAAGTTTGTGATCCGCTCCAAGTTGAGACAGCACAGCACCAATGGCAAAGTCGGAGGCGTCAGCCTCGATGAAGAAAGGTTGTGAGGAATCAGCATGGATCAAGACAGGAGCAGAACTAAAAGCCGCCTTGAGTGTGTCGAAGGCCTGCTGGGCAGCAGCAGACCAAGAGAAGGGAACATCCTTGCAAGTGAGATGTGTGAGAGGAAGGACAATGTCAGAGTAATGATCAATGAATTTGTGGTAGAAGTTGGCAAAGCCAAGGAAAACCTGAACGTTCGACATTTATTGTGGAGGCTCCCATTCGAGAATAGTCTTGACTTTGGTAGGATCCATCGTGATACCCTTAGGAGTGACAAAGTACCCAAGGAACTCCACAGACTGCTGATCAAAGGAACATTTCTCAAGCTTTGCATATAGGCCGTGTTCTCGCAGCTTCGCTAGCACCTTGCGTACATGTTCGTCATGCTCCTCCTGAGTTTTTGAGTAGATGAGGATGTCATCAAGGTAGACGATCACCATCTGATCAAGAAACTCCTGAAAGACGTCATTCGCCATGTGTTGGAAAACTGCTGGAGCATTTGTCAAGCCAAATGGCATGACAGTGTACTCGAAGTGGCCATAGCGGGTTCGGAACGCAGTCTTCCATTCATCACCAGGCCGGATCCGGATCAGGTTGTATGCTCCACGGAGGTCGATCTTGGTGAAGAAGCGGGCACCGCCGAGGCATTCCAACAGGTCCGAGATCAGGGGCAGCAGATAACGGTTCCGAACAGTCACCTTGTTCAAACCTCGGTAGTCGATGACTAGCCGCAAGCTCCCATCCTTCTTCTTGACAAAGAAGACAGGTGCTCCAGCCAGGGACTGCGAATGCTGAATGTAGCCTGAGGCAAGGTTCTCATCCACGTACTCTTTGAGGGCCTTAAGCTCGAACGGGGATAACCCGTAGATAAGCCCCCATGGAGGTGACGCTCTTTCCTGTAAATCAATGGGACAATCATAAGGCCGATGAACAGGCAGTACACTAGCTTTTTTCTTGTCAAACACATCCCCAAAATCATGATACTTCTCAGGAAGACTGACAAGAGAAACATGCAAAGCAAAAAGAAAAAGAGGTTCTTCATGAAGGAGTTCTTTCATAGTGATTGTGGAGATAGGAGGAGGCGTACGACTAAATGGAATGATGAGACGAGGATACGGTCCAGTGTAAGATGGAAGAGAGGAAAAAGAAGAGGGTGAAAACTTTATAGAGTCAGGAACAGAACCCCGATTTGAGTTTAGGGAACTTTTCCTGATTCGGACATGATGAACAGCAGGGGAAGCCGTGGGAGAGATGAGCTGTAATTCCTTCCAACAGATCTGAGGCTAATGTAGTTGGAACCAAGGAAGACCGAGCACCACAGAGGAGGACTTGCTGTTGATGATGTTGAAGGCGATATCGGTGACGGTGGACCCGATGTGTACTCGAATGGGCAACGTTTCCCTAAGTCCAGAAGATGGAGACACAAAATGCCCGCCGATGCCTTCAACCCTCAAATCCCGTATGGTAGGAGAAAGAGGAACGTGATGTCGGGCAGCAAAGTCCGTGTCCATGAAGCAGGAAGTTGCACCCGAGTCCAGTAATGCCAGAGCCTTGAGTCCTGATTGTCCGGTGAAAGAAAGGAGACATGGGACACGGAAGTTGCGGGAATTGGTGGTGGCTTTGATGAAAGGTGGTGAGGAGCTTGATAAAGAAGAAAAGTGATTTTTATTCGGGGAGTCCAAACAGACAGCTCCTACTCTGTTTGGACAGGGTCGTTTCCCGACTGCAATAGAGGTGGACTTTGAGGCAGAGTGAACTTGAGCAGTTGAGGAGGCTTCTTGGGACATACAGCTGCTTTGTGATTAGGATCAGCACAATAGAGGCAAAGATTATGAGATATTCGACGTTGCTTCTCAACAGGACTCAACTTCCCTCTAATGAGTCGGGGAGTACCAGAAATATCCATCGGAACCGAAGCAGTAGGTTCAGGAGTATGCCCCGAAGACTCAAGCTGGGATTCCTGAGTCTGGGACGGAAAAACAGCGGCGCGGCGACTTTCCTGACGACGTTCAAAGAGACGATTGTTGCACCAAATTTGTAGTCCTAGAAAAACCCAAGCAAGAGAAAACTGCGACCTCTCCTTTATTCATCAAAGAAAAGAATACATCAGGTCGCTGTAGGCTCAGTAATCTCTGGATTCAAGAGCTCCTCCAGTATCTCTCGCATGGCACGGTACCAAATCTGGCCACATGTCGGACAGGTAGTAACCACTGTCTGCTCCTGATTTATATTGAGTTGCTCGACCGCTCACCTCACATGTGAATTCCGTGTCACCCTGTCTGCGACTGGATCCCTCCTTACTCTCTGTTTTGCCATCACGACCCTTCCACTCTCCTCCGAATCCTCTTCCTTGTAACTGCCTTATTCCTCCAGAATATCTCTTAAACACCAAATTTGTCCTCTGGCAGCTCCAGATTGTACCAGATTCTTGTCAAGACCCCTGACAAGATCAAGACTGGAAAATGCAAAAAGACAGAGAGAAAAGCTAGTGGAAACAAAAGAAGAGGCCTTAGACTGGCGTTGATTCAGATTGTGGAGAAATGGAATAAAGCTAACCTATATATACTATAGGTTGATGAAGCTCCACCACTCTTGGATCGAGGACGGCCTAAATATAGCTGAGGTCGAGGAAAGAAGAGGCCTTAGACTGGCGTTGATTCAGATTGTGGAGAAATGGAACAAAGCTAACCTATATATACTATAGGTTGATGAAGCTCCACCACTCTTGGATCGAGGACGGCCTAAATATAGCTGAGGTCGAGGAGGCGCCACATCATCATCAGGAATGTGGCTTGAGACTTAGGAATCGGGAAGTGTCTCGAGAGTCAGGAATAGGGAAGTGTCTCGAGAGTCAGGAATGTGGTCTGCAGGTCAGGAATCTGGCGAGAGTTAGGAATGTGGCAAGAATTAGGGGATTCCTGACAATTCTCACCTATGGCTTCAAACTCCACTCCGGCTTACTCCAGGAGGATGACAGTTGACAAACAGCTACTTTAGCAATTATTCTTTCCATGTTTTCTGAAAAATTAAAATAACTACTAGCTGTTTGTCTTCATAGATTGACCTCATAGTCCATATAATCAATATGTTGTAAAAAACAAAAATGGACATTATAAAAACTCATCTAATTAAATCTAGATATGTGTATGTTTCAAAAATGTTAAAATTCATAGTAGTTCTATTACTTCATTACATGCTTGGAGTCTCACTTAAATAATTCCAGTACATTTATTAATACACAGCTATGGGACAAAATTACATCATCTAGTTTGGTATATGATTTTATTGTATAAGGTTTGAAATAGTTTTTTAATGGTTTTAAGTATTAGCATGACAAATATGTATGGTTTTTAATAAAGATGTTAGTCAATTTTATCCAAATACTACATATAATTTTTTCTTATGGTAATATAGTTTTTAATAAACAAATGTATATGTGTTTAAGATATGGTTTATTATATAGTCATTTACAAAATTCAAAATATATATTTTTATATAGTTTAGAAAAATATTCATATAGTTTTATTTACAGTTTTACATGTATTTGTGATTCTATTTAGCTATATAGTTTTTACATATCTCCATATATCTTATCAAATCTATCAATTTCTTGAATGGTTAATATACTTTAATCCTAAGTATTAGTTACCCATGCTTCCAAAAATACCATCTAAATACCCAACTTTTAAAATATGTTTAGCAATATATTTTAAAACTTTTTTTGTTTTAGTTTTTATTTCATTAAACAATTGATAGAACTTGTTTTTAATCTTGTAAAACCCTTTGATATTTTGAAAGGTAGCCTTCTTTCCAATAAATAACTTCATAATGCCTTTTACAATATCTATATCCAAAATTTAAATCTTGGCTTCTTACACAAAAATTAAATTAATTATACAAATTACTATAGATCAAATGAAAAATAAAATACTCATCTCACCCTTTAGAAAATATTTAATCTTATTTAGTGGAAGCTCATCCTTTGTTTTTCATTATACTACAATATATTGTATTCATTATACTTAAAATATATTTAACTGGGCTAGAAAATATTTGTTCACCTTATTCTTTACTATACAGGTAAATTGTTATGTCCTTCACATAACACCAGCATTAACATCACTTTCTAAATTATTTTTTATATGAATTTAAAAAGAAATTATATAATAAAATATTTAAAACCTTACAATAATTTACCTTATACTATATTTAGGTTTGCTTTTTATAACAATCTATACAATATAAAAATCTTTAGTTTTCAATTGTATTGAAAGTGATATAAATATTTACTTCTTGATCTACCAAATACATGCTAGCATATAACATGAATTTTAGAATACTACATTACAATTGTATTGATGTCTTTTATAACAGCTTACATAGAAATCACATATTTTAAATTTACATTGAAAATTATATAAATTTATACATCAGATTTTTCTAAAGCCATAGATGATTTTTTTAGCAGAACAATGGCTTGATCAATATATAGTTCCTTATAGCTCACAAATTAAAGTTACATATTTTTTACAATTTTTTTATTAATTCAAAAAATATATTAAACTTAAAAGTAATATCTTGTTTGTCCTGTATCATTTACACTAGCCTCATATGTTCATCAATTTCTTTGGCATATTATTCTATTTATTCCTTTAGTATTATAGCCTTCATAGTATTTTGCAAATTCACATATTATATATATAGCTAATTCATGAAAATATTGAAATACCTCAATATTTCTTGTATGCTTATTTTCACCACTGTAACTCTCATTAGATTCATCATTATATTCTACAATCTTAGTATAAAACTTTGGTTGATAAATATCCTATTACACTTTAAAACCATTATAAAAACTATATGATTTTAATTTAAAAATCTCATACCTCATTTTTTAGCAATAAATAAAACTATGAAATTTCAATCTTAAATGTAACCTTGCTGGGGAATGACATATGCAAACCATTCAATGATTATAATGTTGTAACAAAATTTTAAAATCCTATAAAGATGTTTTTCGTACTACTTTTTGTTTTAAACATCCACCACAATGCCAGCTTCAACCACAACATTCTTCGCATAATGTGGTGGTTATTTCATTCATATTAAAAATGTTTTTACTAGTTACCATAAAAAATAAAATGTCAAATTTCTTGATTCTCAAATCTTAGAATTTGTGAAATTGCACTATGGTTTCATCTAGTATAAGCATTTATTTAACAGACATATGTTTGCATTTCTATGTATTTTCATATCTTTGTTTCTTTGGTTGTCTTATTATCTTGGTTTATACAATAATCTTTCGAAGCAGGGTTTGTATGTGGATTTATAAAGCTGATTAATTCAGCTAGTTCTTATTAACATTTTTATCACATGTAGTAATCGAAACTCGGTAAAACAAAAAAATTGTTTGCTGTTTGCTGCTTTATCCATTGCAGCTACAATATGGACTTTGCAAGAAGCAAGGAGTGAGATGTGATCTAGAAAGACTGGTATAGCATCGATTAGCTCCTTGGCATCCTCCAAGATCCTCAGCTTTGAGACCTCAAAACCTTTCACAACACTGCTATAGATGCACATGAGCTCCAAGTTTGTCCATTGCTTGCCATAGCTGGTTGTGGCATAAGCAAAAAAATCAAACATTAAGCTAGAATGACTTGGCCCTCACTGTGACTGCAGCTGGCTTTTAGCAGACCCAGCTGTGAAGTTACAGCTGGATTTGGCTACGAGGTATGGTGTGATAATTCCAGACCAGCAAGTATCTCACTGCTTGGAATGCAGTTCTTCACAGATGCTGGGCAATATGTCGTGAGATTTGGCGAAGTCCTCGCTGATGGTACAAACAGAGCTGGAGTTGCTGGCCAGTACGTTTTGCAGGGTGGCGAGCAAGCTCAAAACGTTGATCCACAGGTGGATATTTTTGCGTTTTCCTCTTGCGAGCTCGCGAGATTTTTCTTTTCCAGGTGGAGCCTCTTTCGGTTTCTCGCTCTTTGACACTGACCGAGAGAGCGATTGTTCTAGCTCTTGCCATCTCTCTCGACAACGATTACTTCTCGAGACACAGCGGGTGAGTGTCGATGCTCTTGCTTTTTGTGCCCGGTTTGAAACTTACAAACTCTAATGTTCTCGCCAGGATGGGAATGCCAATTCCCATTATCGGAGGAAGCCCAGAACCTTGAGCTCTATTCTTCTGTCGATGTATAGTCTCAACCAGCCACAGTAGTGAAGCACCATGGCACTAGTAGCAGTCATGGCAGCCATGCTTGCCATAGTTGCAGCCTAAGGCAATGGATGGTAGCTTGCATGGCTGGCCATGCAGCCGGCCATGCCGATGCAAGCCATGGCTGGCTGCCATGGCTGTGTGCCAAGGCTGGTCATGCACCTTAACTTAGAGGCTCAAACTAAATACTAAAGAAATAACTTTCGAGAAGTTTTCATTTTTATACTTTTTGTTTAGATCTATAGAAAGTAAAATGTAGTCATTGGTATTTATAATATATTTCTTATTTCTTATTTCATAGTCAAAGTGTTTGAGGTTACTTATTTTTAATATTTATATATTTAAAAATAAATATTAATTTTAGAAACTTAAATATTTATATTAAAACTCATATTATAAACCATACAATTAGTGTGTTAGTTAATATATATATATATATATATATATATATATATATATATATATATATATATATATTTATATATATATATATATAAAATAAAATATGTTTAGAATACTTGCTATTGAATTCTTTTGAGATAGTTTAATTCTATATCTTCAACTGCGAATGTAACTATATTTAAAGCTAAAGTTCTTTTATTGTCATGACAGCAAAATATCAGTATTGTTTATTCCCTTTATTAACCCCTTTTAATCTATACTAAAATATAAAGAATTCCTAAATGTCTATTTAGCCAAATATACATGGGCTAACTTATTAACTTTTTTTTGCTTTGTCTTACACTAGCTTGACAAGAACCTCACATATTAGGTACTAATCCCTTAATATTGTTATATGATAGCTTATTATATTTATTAAATACCCTTGCTATCATTCCTCATGTATTAGTTTTATAAATTGTTTATGAAAAGTGTCTAAATTTGCTAATAAGGCATATAGAAAATGTCATGAACACAACAGTGTTGTTTTTGTGTTTAGGTTAAACCAGTGCTATTTTGTATTTAATAAGTTTTCTAGATTGTGTTAGAGTGAAACTCCTAAGACTAAGGTGAAAGCCTAAGGCAAGCTTTTATAAGAGAATGGGGGGGCGGGGATCATGCCAATAGGATGTTGACATTACTAGTGATACTAGTGATATGCATGCAGGAGCTCATGAGTAATAATGTTAATCCTAATGCATATTGAGTACATCAAAATTGCAGAATTATTCCCCAAGAAGTGCTAGAGTGCATTGGTAAAGTGGCTTATCGGGTGCAGCTGCCAGCTAGGGTGAAAATTCATCCGGTATTTTATGTCAACTAGTTGAATTGTGTACTATCTCGGAGTGACGGGCCCAATGCCTTCTTGATGTATACGGTTGTGGAAGATGGATCAGGAGTTTGAGCAAGGTTCCCCAGAAAGGGTGATCACTAGTACAACTTGTCCTTGGGACAAGGACTTTGTTGAGGGGAAAGAATTGTTAGGCACCAGCTTTGACCACGTGGTCAACATTGGTCAAAGGGAGGCTCAAGGGTATATTAAGGCATGTTAGGGTAAGGGAAAAAACCCTAGGGCTCACAGTGGAGTGGTGGTGTAGTGGAGCTTTTGAGGTAGCTCGGGGGTGGTTGGGTGGTGAGGAACCTTAAGAGGTGGTGTAGAATAGTCTAGGGTGACTAGATTTCTATCTTTTTGCGCCGGATCATAACAACCATATCTCTTATGTTGGATTTTAGAGCTTAAGCTGCATTGTTGTTTGTATGGTAATTCCTCACTTGGCTCAGGCTATTTCCAAGTTCTTTGGTCCTTCCTTACCATTGCATTACTCCATACATTCTTCACACACATTCCATATCATATATACTCATAAATCCATTACCAATCACTTCTAGCACATTGCCCACACTCACTTCTAGATGCCCGTCTTTCATCTTTCATTCTTTCACCATCATCCACATCTCCATTTGTGTTCATCTTTACACCACATCATAGACATATATACACACACCAGTAGCAAAAGTCAACACCTCATTTGGATGTGGTATTTTTCAAATATCAATGTGAACATTTGCTGACAATATGTTAGCTTTTTTGGAGTGACTTTCTTCCAACTAGATGACTCAGGGCACTATTAGGGTATGGCCACTGAGAGAGTGAGAGAGAGAGGGAATATTTTGGTCCTTAGAATATTCCCCATCTTCCTTGTATAAAACCCTTGCCTCACAAGGGCAAGGGGGGGGGGGGGGGGCATTTTGTAAAGAGTATTGAAGCATTTTTCGTGTTTGAGCGAGAGTTGGGGGAGGTGCCCCTCCTTCCCCCAACAAATGGTGAACCCGGCGTGATGCGCAGCACTTTCTGGGTGTCATGTCTTTCTTTTTCTTTTGGCCGCAGAGTTTAGGAAGGAATTCCTTGTTCATCTTGTAGTGGTTTTGTTTGATCCTAGGCGTGTTGGATAGGTTTAGAGCTCCTCTTTCCAGCAAAGTATGGTGCTTATCAAGCCGTGCAGTATTTGAAGAGATACAACGTGTTTTGGCTCGGTTTGAGGAACAGTTTGGGGTTTTCACATTCTCGCCTAGATCCTTGACCCAATTTCTCAAAGTACTACATTTGAGCTTGTAGATCTGGCCTAGATTTATGAGTAGGGGTGATTCTTGGTGCTAGATTTGGCCAAATTGGCAGCATGCAAAAGGATTTTCTTCTCCAGCTAGATTGGGTCATCTTTGTGGCAGGAATTCGTGCTCCTCCAGGCTTTGTTTTGGATGCCATTTGTTTCTAGAGGTGCTCTTGGTCCTAGGCTTTCCGAAAATACCAACAGTGCCTTAGTATCGATCTACATCAGTGACATGCACATGTTTTTCCACAATATTAGCGTTCTGGGCTAACTCTTCTTGGATTTTGGGGAATATTAAGGCGGCTTCTTCCCAAATTCTTACGATAGAAGGTAGATGGGGCTGAGCTCTTTCCAACAAACCCACCAACGGTCAAAATGGGGAAGGATTGAGACCAAAGGACTCATTTTTCTCTTTTGGGCTAAACTTTGTTGAGAGTTCCTTGGGAACGAAGCAATCTTCAAGGAATAGGTAACTGCAGGAACAGGAACAGGAGGAGCAGAAACAAGAGTTGGCATAGGAATAGGGACAGTAGGAATAGGCACAGGGATAGGAGTTGGTGTTGGAGTAGGCGCAGGAGTAGGAGTGAGAGCAGGGGGGTTACCAGTTACAAGTCACAAGTCCCTAATTACCGGTTACTGGTTACTCCAACAGCTACTCTGGCAGCTACTTCGGCAATTACCCCATGGGTCAATGGTTATGTGTGCTTGAGGCATATATCTCCGTTTTCACCCTTATTCCTCTTCGTCATAGGCATTTTGGGCAGCTTTGTGCAACTTGAGCACTAGCCTACAGTCTTCGTGCTCCTGTCAACCCAATTGCCTTGACTGGGCATTTGCAATATTTAGGGTATTTGATGCCGGTACAAACTAGATGTACGACAAACTAGCACCCTTTTACCATACCTTGAGGCCTTAAGGTATGGAGTAAACTTTCTAACATCCAAAGGCAGCTTAGGTACGACAATGCACCTTCTTGGGCCGAGTCCTCTTCATCCTTGGCAGATTCCAGTGACTTAGATCTACAAGCTATGGCGCAGCCACCTTTAGCTCGACCTCAGCTCCATGTTTTGTAGAAGGGGAGTGATCTGCTAACCTTCTCAGGTGTTGGAACAGTCTCTCCAACATTACATATCAGTCGCTTTAATTACTACTGCACCACAAACATGATCGTCGATGATGATCGTATGTGCCGCAACTTCTTACAGTCTCTTGAAGGCAAAGCAGCAACTTGGGTAGATTCTCTCCTCCCAAAGGACCGGACAGACTTCTAGACACTACTTGCTTCTTTCAGAGAACACTTTGTTGAGGAAAAACCCACAAATTGGCTATTTGTCGACCTCTTTTTGTTCCGGCAGGGTGCTCACGAGTCTGTTCCTGACTACATCACACAATTTCAAGCTTACTAGAAGTAGTGTTGGGATTGCAGAGTGGTCCAAGATGAGCAACAGAGGATCATGGCATTCACAGCAGGTCTGTGTGGGAACTTGCAGTGGAAACTTTATAAGAAGACATTCAGGTCTTGCTGTGAGGCATTTCCATTTGCTATAAAGCTGGAAAGAGAGCTTCTGGTTGACCTAGGGATTGCTAGAGTTGATTTTGACCAAGCCATCACCCCATTAGAGTCACCTTGTGCAGCTGTTCGCCCATCCATAACAAAGCCTGTCGCTATTAAGCTTACACCTCCGGCTATTGAGAACTTTGCCAACGAGATGTGGCAGCTAAAGAAGATCATTCTTCAGCAGCAATTACACCATGAGAAACTACTCTTGGAGCTGGTGGAGTCCAGGAAAGAGGCCACTACAGCTCGGGAACGTAGATTTAAGCCCCGTTGGTGCACTCACTATGAGACAAACACACACAACATGCAGTGCTGCTTCAAGCTTCACCCAAAGCTTCGGCCTCCATCTTCTCAACGTGTCCAACAACATCCCTTTGCTAATAGTTCCACATCGTCTCAGGGTCCAAAGACATATTAGGAGCAGCTGGAGCGACAAGCGATTGAGGCAGCCCCTTTGTCAAGCAAAGGCAAGGCACCAGCCTCATTGGTCAACACAATTTTGGTAGCCGAGGAACTCTATAGGCAACAGCAGCAAACCGCAACCACTCGAGCCCAAGCAAAGAAGAAGGCACCCGCTCAGCCTGCCACAGATCCCCCGATGCCAGTTGAGAGTGAATCTCTATTGGCACCAGATCCAGTGATGCAGAGGGTGGCTTGTAAGCTCCCCTTCAAGTCACTACTCTCTTCTCCTCCTGAGATCTCA